ATTCAGCAAGTTGAAGTCCCCCTAAGGACAAGGGTGGTTGATTTAGAGGTGTCCCTTAGTTCTTCAAAGAATAATTCATCTGCATCATTGTTCTGGCCAGGTGGCCTATAGTAGACTCCCATGATAACATCTGCTTTATTTGTTTGTCCCTTAATCCTTACCCAGAGACTCTCAACCATGCCATTGCCAACTATGAGCTCTGTATGCCCCAGCCCTTCCATTACACAGTATGTCACTCCCCCACCTTGCCTGCCCTGCCTTTCCCTCCTGCAGAGCCTGTAACCGTCCAACATGGCACACTAGTCACAGGACTCATCTCACCAGATTTCACTTATGCCAATGATGTCAAATCTCTGCGACTGGGCCAAAGCTTTGATGTCCTTTTTTTTGTTCCTCATGCTGGGCACATTGGTATAGAAACATTTCAGGTGTGGTTCATTGTAGCCAACACCTTGTGGAGCAGACTGAAGGATCCCACTAGTGCTCAGTCCCTCAAGTTTTGGCGTGCCATCCCATTGCTTATCACTGGCAAGCCTGGTTTTGCCTCTTTTCCCCTTCCAGTCTAGTTTATAACTCCGTCAACAAGCCCTGCTAGCTCCTGTGACAGAACTCTTTTTCCCCTCTGAGAAAGGTGTTGTATAGACCATCCTATGGTCAAAAATCAGCTGTGAGCTACTACCAGAAAACTGCTATGCATCTTCCTTCTGGAAAGCAAACTACCTTTGTGTTGATCTGATGGATCTGCCTGTTCCTTTCAGTATTCTTCCCTGATACTGGAAGGATTGAGGAAAATACTACCTGTGCTCTTTTCTCTGAAAGTCTTCTCTGATGACTTCCCTTACTGCGGTGGTCTATAATACGATCATCAGTCACAAGACTCTTCAGCATGCATAGTGGACATAAAAGCAGTTCCAGTGTAGACAGTCCTAACTTTGGAGAAAAACCCAGTAGTATATCTAATTTCTTAACCTGAAATATTTTGGAATTAGGTTCCTTTCATTTGATTAAACTGACAAGCTGAGAGCACTAATAGAGGAGTCCTTTACTGATTCCCCAAGATTTCAAATAAAGCATATATCGATGTCTTGACCAAGGAGGAGCTGAAGGTAATTTGTACTGTAGCCCATGTAACCAAAGAACTATTTAACTTCTGTTTAATACATTCTTGAGCCACCTCTTCCTAAATGGAAGTTCCAGATCTGTCCAAGTTCTATCCAAGATCTGTGCTATCAATTGAAGAGACCTTCTCAACAGGTTAATAAGTCTGAAAATGAGAAACTGCCCCTGGAAATTACATAGCTTATCTGAAAGTCAAGCTCTCTTCTACAGAGAATAATCTTGACTTTGTCTTGATAGATTTATTTTTTTTTAACAAGAATTTCTTATTCTAGAGGAATAGAAGATCTCAGTACCCCTAAGAGATGCAAGAAATGGCCAGCCAACTATTAGATCCTGCACCAATGTGAAACCTCTTCATCATGCACATTGAGGAGGTTTATTTATTTAGAGGTTTTCAGGGAAAGGACACCATTTTTCAAATACACATCAAGTGATCATCTGCACTAACTTGCTCAGCAGTTCTGCTAGCAGTACCTGTCTGCATGTGTGTAGTAATACTTGCATTGATGTAGCATACAACAGGCAAATGGAGAAACAGAAGCCCCTCCTGTACCTGCAGATCTCACAGTATCTTTGCCAGTAAGGTTCTGAAGGATGGAATACACCTGAGATGCTTTTTGCCCATTTGGCCATGCTTTCCACAGCTAGTTTAAATGCTTTCCCTCTGCTGAGTCATATAACACATGCTGCCATTGGAAATAGGGAGAAAGAACCCAGGAGTCCAAATATTACTCACAAATCTAGAACAATTTAAGGGGCTTTTCTGTCACAGAAATGTCAGTGATAGAGTTGTGAAATTGTTGGTATCACCTCAGCCCAACAATGACAAGTTGTCTTGGTAAGGACACTGCTGTTCAGTTTGCCACATGAGGGGAGAAACAGTTTTATAGGGCAGATGTCATAAGCAGTCAGTTACTAGATAGCGAACGTAGACAATCTAATTGCCATTAGGTCATGAGGCAGGAGAGGGGAAAGCATCTGTAGGCCACTGAAGACAGTGCTAACAACACTGTAAGACTTTTACAGGAAAAATGTTACTGTAGAAATCTCTACAGCTGTGAATTACTACCAGAAAACTGCTGTGCATCTTCCTTCTGGAAAGCAAACTGCCTTTAGATTCTTAAACCACCTTACTAAGCTTGGGACAGACAGTGGACATGTTCTACACCAGTTTATTCCAAACGCTGGATTTAGGAGAAATTACACATTCATTAGATTTATTTCACTAGATCTTACTGCAGAAATTCTGATGACACCATCATCCACACAGGGGTATCCATGAATACAGTGATATCCGAAGTGTGCTGCTACCACTGAATGATACTTTGTGGATGCTTGAGGTGACATTAAAGTCAATCATAAGGATCTTTCTCAAGTAAACAAACATTTAAGGCAGAAACGTGATGTGAAGTTAAAAAAAAAGAACAGATTTTCACAGTAATCTTCAGAATAACAAAGGCTGACAAAGCACACAATCTCAGCTTTCTGACAGAAGCTTCTAAAAATCTAGAGTAGGCAAATAGTAGCTTTCTTTGGCATGAGAAGCAACTGGGATAATATCCTTTCCCCAGAAGTCTTTACTTATCTGTTTACCGAAACGGAATAATAAATGGGTTTATGATCTTCACAAATATTTTTTGGTTTGTGTTTTTTTGTCATTTTTAAGAACTCCCTGAAGATGGATGAAGAGATTTATTTTTGTTGAAATGAACTGTGCAAACTCCAAGATTCAGTAGTGTAAGGCAACATTACTCCAGATACCTAAAAACTCATGTCTCCTTTTAACTTGCAAAGTCTCTCATAAGAACCCAAAAACTGATCTGAGGTTCTTGCACACATCAAACTGAGACTGATACAGATGACCATCTGTCCTAGTTACAGGGATAGGAGGCAGAGTTTAGCACTACGTGGGTATGACCAATATGTGTATTCTATTCCCTCTACATAATTTCTGATGAACTGGTAATGATCGATCACCTGCAGCCCAAGTGCTGAGGACATGCACACTCATCACCTCAGGCTACAAACTGGGTGTTGAACAAGATAAAAAAAGAAGCAAATCCTGTGAGGTGGAGTAGTGTTTCTTTTTCCTTAAACAAATGACTCAGCAGTGATAACTCCCCTCTGGGGAAGCACGCTAACATTCACACAGAGCCTGAAGGTATTCATCTCTGCTGATGGGCCATAACTGACTCAACTGCACTGATGTAACATGCAGTTGTAACATCTTAGAAGGTGTCAAAGACTCATGAAATGTTCTGTAATCCACTATTACATCATCCAGCGTAATACTCCCCACCCCAGGGGAGGTACTGGGGCATTTCCGCCTAACCTAAGCGTAATATAAACTAGGATGGAACCTGTGTTGGGGGAACTTTTCTCCATCACTCAACAGAAATGGACTGTGACCATCACTTCTACCAACAAACATCGAAATTGCAACAACCAAGTCTTGTTGTGAGATCCACAGGTAAGGGAACAAGCCAACCCTGGACCATGCTGCTGCTTGCTATCCCCACTGAGAGACCCTGCACCCGCACCGCATCACCATTGCCAGAGGTCAGCATAAAGGCAGGTAATTCCTGATTTGAATGATATAGCTTCCCAGGTTTTTTCTTTTTGCTTTGCCCCTGGGGATACCACATGGCATGCAGTGCAGGAACTGATGTAATTTTGCTTTTGTTTTAGCTGGCCAGGTTATACTCTGCCTTTATTATTGGTTAAACCAGTTCCTCTGCATCACTGTGTTTTATTGCAGCTTCTTTAGTAAATTGTAACTCCAACTTGTAATCTCTCTTGGTATTTCTTCTTCCACTATCGAATGGAGGCAGTCGAATAGGGTTAATTTCTCCCATCAGTTTTCTTTTAAACCAGCACACCATCCCACAGCTTGTGGAGTGCAAGACTTGATGAAAGAAGTGAGAGGGCTGCTGTTAGTACAGTCTGTCTTAGAAACAGGTCATCATGATTGACCTTGGCTTTCTCTAGTAATTCAACGAGCACCTATCAAATATCATTTGAGGGAAAGGAAGGGAAGAATGGGAGGAATGATAGGAAACCTCTCAAGGCCATGGAAAAGATCTGCAAAAGCAGGTCCAGAGGAGGGCTGTGAAGATGATTAAAGGAATGAAACACCTCTCCTATGAGGAAATGCTGAGAGAGTTGGGGGTGTTCAACCTGGAGAAGAGAAGGTTCTGGGAAGACCTCATTTAGGTCTTTCAGTACCTAAAGGGAACCTATAAGAAAGATAAGGACAGACTTTTTAGGAGGGTCTGTAGCGATAGGACAGAGTAATTGTTTTAACTTGAAAATGGGTAGATTCAAACTAGTTATAAGGAAATTTTTTACAATGAGGGTGGTGAAACATTGGCACAAGTTGCCCAGAGAGGTGGTAGATGCCCCATCCCTGGAAACATTCAAGATCAGGTTGGATGGGGCTCTGAGCAACTTTATCTAGTTGAAGATGTCCCTGCTCATTGCAGGGGGGTTGGACTAGATCATCTTTAAAGGTCCCTTCCAATCCAAACTATTCTATGATACTATGATTTCTGGAAAGCAGAATAATTTTGCTCTCTAGCCATCCCTACATATACTCCCAAACCCATTGCATTGGTCCTTTCTCAGCCCTGAACAGAGGAGCACCCTGCAGCCAACTGCTCCAAGTTCTCTCTTCCACTCAAATGGCACAAAGAGACTGTTCAGATCCTTGGTCTGTTTACCAGTCAACTGTGCTTTACATCAGAAAACAGAATCTAAAAATTCCAGACAAAGCCCAAAGAGGGTCTTTAAGAGGCTCCTCAGTGTGACTTAAAAAGCTGTACCCACCAACACAGGGTAAAATTCCTGTCTTCTACTGTAGAAATAATGAACGAGGGAAATACCTGAAGGCCCAACTCCAGAGAAACTTTCAGAAGAGTGATGTCTGGCAAGCTGTCCATGAGTGTTGCTATTTTAAATGCATCTTGGGCAAGTTTGAAGATGTGTGATGAGGAGTGGATATTTTTTTGAATGGATTCTAACACTGTTTCCAGCCTCTGAACATCACCTGCAAGGTGTAAACAGAACAAACTTCCAAAACATCCTGAAATGCATTATAATTGAGCTTGCCATTGATATGAAATAGTACAATGTTTCAGTTATCCACATTTTGCTTTTTATAAACCTTCCATAATTAAATTACATGAACAAAAGATGCAAGACAGCACAAACTCCTCTAGTGCCTGATGGTGTTTGTGTAGTACATGGCCAAAAGTCATCCTGATTTGTGAATTTTAGAAGTGATTTGTTCACTCCTGGATTTCACAATCTATATTGTGCATCAGAAGAACAAAAAGCTATTTCATCAGCCTCAAATCAAGCCCATCTGGCTACCATCTATCTAGTTTAACCACTTTTCTAGAAAATGAAGTGACAAGTTTAAGTCAGTTCAATTTGTTGTTCCCTTTTCAAGCTCCTGTCAGACTGCAATTTGAATTCCTAAACACAAGTTTTATAATCTGTTTATTCCATGAAATATTAAAAGCATACACTTAGTTAAGTAGGTAATTTACAGCAATGTACCTTTGGCTGCTGTTAGCATGGTGGATGCCAGCTCACATTGCTGGGATTCGATGTGACTTAGGGTGAACCAGCGGGGATATCGATTTGGAGCAACTGATACAATGTGGTGTGGATGGGACATATCTCCCAAAGGAGTCGTAGATTCCAATACTCGCAACCTGAAATAAGAAAGAAATCCTCTTCCTTACATCATTATTGTGTTGGGTTATTCATAAGCAAAACTAAAGTTGCAAGAACACTTGATCTTGTTTATTAAATGTGCAGTTTGGGGTATAAAGGTATTGGAAAACAACTTCTTTTCTTGGGGAATCTTAAAAGTCCATTTACCAAACTTGCCTACATCAATGGGCATCTGCAGGAATTCACAGGACAATAAAGCCATTGTGCTAGTTTGGGCTGGGGCAGGGTGAATTTTCTTCAAAGTGGCTGGTATGGGGCTATGTTTTGGATTTGTGCTGAACACAGGGTTGATAATACAAAGATGGTTTTGTTATTGCTGGGCAGTGCTTACATAGAGCCAGGGCCTCTTCTACTTTTCATACTGCCACACTGGCAAGGAAGTTGGGGGTGCATGGGAGGTTCGGAGGAGACACAGCTGGGACAGCTGACCCCAACTGACCAAAGGCGTATTCCATACCATATGACATCATGCTCAGTATATAAAGTGGGGGGGTAGAAGGAGGAAGGGGGGGGGGACACACACATTTGGAGTGATGGCATCTGTCTTCCCAAGTAACTGTTATGCCCTGCTCTCTTGGAGATGGTTTAACACCTGCCTGACCATAGGAAGCAGTGAATGAATTCCTTGTTTTGCTTTGCTTGTGTGTGCGGCTTTTGCTTTCCCTATTAAACTGTCTTTATCTCAACCCACAAGTTTTCTGGCTTTTATCCTTCCAGTTCTCTCCCTGGTCCCACTGGTGGGGGAGTGAGAAAGCGGCTGTGTGGTTCTTGGCTGCTGGCTGGGGTTAAACCACGAAAGCCATTCATTAACCAAGGCAGCAGAGAGTTTTTGCATCGTCCATAGAGTTTTTTCCCCTGCCTTATTTCAGTCTTTGAACCACTGTCCTCAGGAAGGAAGATAGAGTAGTTCTCCATCATATTGAGAACAGGTAAGTATTTTCCAATATTTTGAATATACTTTTTCCTCACTTGCATATGCTCTAAGTAAGGGGGAGTGACATTCAATAAGTCATTTGGTTTTTGACCTTGAAATAAATAGACATACCATAAAAGACATTTTGCTGTTCAAATAAATATGAACTAATTTTTAAAGTACCTAAACCCTAGACTACCAATATCTAATAATGCACATGTTAATATGAAAAAAAAATACTTCCCTTTTGTTTTGAATCAAGAGTCAAATCTCTTCCTTAGTAATACTGAGGCACATCTATATAGCTTTATATATGTAAAACTAAAATACATATAAATTCTCCAGTTGATTTTTTCCAAACACAGAGGGGGGAGAAAAAAATGCATTATTAAATAATTTCAACAAACAGGAAAAATCCTAACTACTTAATGCAAAAAGTATTATTAGGTTATAAGTAACCACAAAGAGACAAAAAGCACAAAAGGAAAATATTTTGTCACTTTGAATTTCATTGTCAGCTTCTATTGTTCCTTTGCTGTGAAAAGAAAGGCTGTAGTGAATTGGTGGTTTTCACGTGATTTTGACAAGATTAGGGAACATTATAACAAGCACAAACAGATTTAGCATTCTTCATTTTTTTCACTTTCAAACATCAATTATTTAGCTAGGTTTTAGCAAAGCTACTTTGTGATGAAACATCACTACTGAAGTCTGACTCACAAAGACTGGGTTGAAATTCAGGCTTAACAGGGAATTAGCCAAACTAAACCAAACATTCAAGTTCAGATTCCAAGTGAGCTGTCAACTATGTCCACATCCTCCAAGGCTGTACTTCATATGTTTCAGTGTTGCAAGCAGAGAACTGTAGACAGAAGTGACCATCAAAGATAGTGCACCCTGTCCTTGCAGACCTGAGGTGCATGAAAGAAAGGCCTTATGGTCTCAGATTCTATTGGTTTCACACTGAGTGTTCCTCATACTAAAAGAGGATTAAGAAGAAAAAGAAATGACAACAGATGATTTTGAATGCAGAGAGGCAAAATACTCCAGAGTTGTCATCACGGGAAGTTAACTTTGATAAATGTTTAAGAGGAATGGCATGCTGCCATCGCATTCACTGAAGCATTCAGTGCACTGTGCAAAGCTACTGATAGATGTCTATTCTAGCCTTTTAATGTTGTTTCAGTAGTTTAGTTTAAGGAGAAAAGCTCCCCACAATCTCTGAGAAACACTTAAGGTAGTGACTGAAATGAAATACAGGGACACAAATCTACTTTATAAAATTAATCTTTTAAAAATTCTAAGTCTAAAAATTCTAATTCTAAAATTATAATCATAAGCAGCCAGTATGCAAAGTCACTTTTCATATTTCTTAGATTCCTTCCCCAACATCTACTATTAGACACTCTTGGAGGCAAAAAAGCCCAAACAATCTAAGCAGACCTTTGGGCTGACTTGATAGTAGCTGTTTTGTTCTTATGCATGCCCTCCCATTTAGTCCTTTGAACATGGGACTATTTTCTCCCCATTTAGCTTTCTGGAGTGTGCTAGTTTTGGCTGGTGTAGAGTCAATTTTCTTCACACGCTGGTATGAGACCGTGTTTTGGATTTGTGCTGAACACAGTGTTGATAACACAGAGATAGGGTTTTTTATTGCTGAGCAGGGCTTACAGAGCAAAAGCCTTTTCTGCTTCTCATACTGCCATGCTGGCAAGGGGACTGTGGGTGTGTATTGGGTCTGGCTGAGTTGATTTCCCCACAGTAGCCCTCACAGTGCTGTGCTTTGCATTAGGAGCTGGAAGGGTGTTGATAACACAATAGTGTTTTGGCTACTGCTGAGCACAGCATCAGCACTGTAACATTTCTTCCTCAGTTGAGGGCAAGATCCTGGGAGGGGACACAAATAGGCCAGCTGACCCAAACTGACCAAAGGGATATTCCATACCATATGACATCGGCTCAGATATAAAAGCTAAAGCAAGGAGAAGGAAGGCAGGCATTCTTTGTCTCCAATGGTTGCCTGCTGAGAAACCATCACGTGTGCTGAAGCCCTGCTTCTCGGGAGTGGTTGACCATCGCTGCTCATGGAGAGGATAAACCATGCTATCTTTCGCTTTTTGCGCACACAAGCTTCTGCTTTACTTTTTGCTTTAAATAACCTGCCTTATCCCAACTCACAAGTTGTTTTTTCCACCTTACTATCTCCCCTGTCCAGCTGTGAAGGGGAGTGATAGAGTGACTGGGTGGGCACCTGGCATTCAGCCAAGGTCAACCCACCACAGTCCTTTCTGGCGCCCAATGTAGGGAAAGATAAAGGCATTTATATATACATATATATATATCATGCTATTGTAATAATAACTATTGAATAGCAAGCTCCTGTGCAGGACACGGAGTTTGCTGGCTGCACTGCTTATCACTTTATTTTGCTAAGTTTTGGGAACATACTAATCTAAACAATGGCTCTGTGCTTTGCTTTTACACTAATGGCCTTGTTATGCTTGGGGAGTTGTTATCTTCTGGGGAGCTATCTGGGAACGATGGAGGAATACACTTTCCCTTCCCCCCCAATATTGATATAAATGGTTTTATAATGAAGTCTCCCATGCTCCTTGCTAATCCTTATGTGAGCTGTTTGGTAATGTTACTTTTACTAATACTGTCAGCACATTATGGAGTTCTTGGAATCTGGTGTTATCCTGGTGTAGGAGAAAACAAACTTTAGGTGATAATATATTGGGATGCACCCTGAGGTGCCAAGTTCCTGGGTGGCAGGGTGTGTGGAAGGATTTGGACAGGTTCCTAGGGCATTTGACACCTCCCATTTCCTGGGACTTCACACCTGAACAGGTATTCGACCCTAGCAAACTGATCTGATGGAAGGGTGCCTTGCCTACCCTAATCAAAGCCAGCAGCTTCTTGCCCTGTACTGGGGCCTGGCCTGTGCTTATTGAGCAGGCTCAGAAGACTGTAGTGGAGGCAGGGACACAAACTGCAATGGAGGACACTATGGCTTAGGTAGGGACTCAAACCACAACAACTACAGTCATCGCCCCAGCAGTGAAAAGGAAGAAATGGATAAGGCAAGCTACAGGTCCATATCAGCGATTAGTAATGGAGGAAAAGGAAGAAGGAGAAGGAGAAGGAGTAGAAGGAGGGGAGTGGGTAGATAAAAAAGCCAGTCCTTCAACAAAGGAAGTCAGACAAATAAAACAGGAAACCGAGGTTACCTGGTCCCTGACCTCATCAGAGCTCCAGGACTTACAGAAAGATTACAACCACCAGCCTGGTGAGCAGATTCCTACCTGGCTGCTTCAATGCTGGGACAACGGGGCTGATAGTCAACAACTGGAAGGTCAGGAAGCCCAACAGCTATGATCTCTTGCCAGAGATTGTGAAATTGAAAGAGGAATTGGAAAGGAGAGAACAATTTACAGTCTTTGGAGATGGTTCCTCTCAAGCATGAGGGAAAGATATCCATTCAAGGAAGATCTAATGAGCTCCCCAAAAAAGTGGGCCACAGCAGATGAAGGTATCCAGTACTTGAGAGAATTAGCAGTGCTGGAAATAATCTATAGTAACCTAAGAAGGGATGACACCCCCAAAACCCTAGAAGATGTTCCTTGCACAATGGCCATGTGGAGGAAGGTGGTTCAAAGAGCCCCTGTGTCATATTCTAACAGTCTGGTAACAGTATATTACCCAAAGATGGATCCACCAACTGTAGAGGTGATGTCCTCCTGGCTTTGAAATGTAGAAGAAACTCTGGGCACTTCCTCATTCCCATTGACCAGCACCTCATCTCTCAGGGGCAGCCCAAGAGATCAGTCCCCTCCTGCCCCAGTCAGAGGGAAAGGAAGCCCCAAGCGCAGGCTGTGTGGTGAACTCTAGTTCTTTCTGCATGACTGGGGGAAGACATGAAGAAGTGGGATGGTGAACCCACCTTTAAGCTGGAAGCCCAAGAACGTGAATTAAGAGGGAAGAGAACTGTTGAGAAGGGGTCACCCAGGAAAGCTGTCCATGTAGTTGCCACAGAGACCCAAGAAAGAAATCAGCGACCTCTCAGACAGAGACCAATTCCTTTGATCCTGGTGAGCGGACCTCTGGTCTGGCATTGCAAAGGTCAGACAGTGAATACTCTGACCAGGAACAGGAATAGAGGGTCCCTGCCTTTGGCCAAGAGGAGGAAAGGGATGATTGGGTCTACTGGACTGCGTGGATTCGATGGCCTGGGACATCGGATCCACATAGGTATAGAGCTTTGGTAGATACGGGTGCACAGTGCACACTAATGCCATTGAGGCACAGAAGTTCAGAACCCATCTGGACCTCTGGAGTGACGGGGATGCCAGGAGTTGTCTGTATTAGAGGCTGAAGCGAGTTTAAGAGGGGACAAGTGGGAAAAGCACCCCATTGTGACTGGCCCAGAGGTCCCTTGTATCCTTGGCATTGATTACCTCAGGAGGGGATATTTCAAAGATCCCAAGGGGTATCGATAGGCTCTGGTGTAGCTACTGTGGCTACAGAGAGGATCAAACAATTATCTGCCCTGCCTGGCCTCCCAGAAGATCCTTCCATTGTGGGATTGCTGCAAGTCTAAGACCAACAAGTGCCCATTGCCACCAGAACAGTGCACCGACGGCAGTATCGCACCAACCAAGACTCCATAATTCCCATCCATGAACTAATTCGTCAACTGGAGAAACAGGGAGTGATCAGCAGGACCTGCTCACCCTTTAACAGCCCCTTATGGCCAGTTCAAAAGTCTAATGGGGAGTGGAGGCTGACAGTGGACTATCATGGCCTGAATGAAGTCACAACACCTCTGAGTGCTGCTGTGCCAGACATGGTGGAACTTCAATAAAAATTGGAGTCAAAGGCAGTCCAGTGGTGCCACAATTGATATTGCCAATGCATTTTTCTCCATTCCTCTGGCAAGAGAGTGCAGGCCACATTTTGCCTTCACCTGGAGGGGTGTCAAGTATACCTGGAATCAACTGCCCCAGGGGGTGGAAGCACAGCCCAACCATCTGCCATGGACTGATCCAGACTGCACTGGAACAGGGGGGAGCTCCAGAGCACCTGCAATATATTGATGATATCATTGCATGGGGCAAGGTAGCAGAAGAAATTTTTGAGAAAGGAAGGGAAATAGTCCTAGTTCTTCTCAAAGTTGATTTTACCATAAAACAAAGTAAGGTAAAGGGACATTCATGGAGGATTCAGTTCTTGTGAATAACATTGCAGGATGGACACCATCATGTGCCCATGGATGTAGTAAACAAAATAGCATCTATGTCTCCACTGGCTAACAAGAAGGAAACACAAGCCTTGTGGCTTCCTGGAGGATGCACATTCCAGGTTATAGTCAGCTTGTGAGCCCCCTCTATCGAGTGACCCAGAAGAAGAACCATTTTGAGTGGGGCATTGAGCAACAACAGGCCTTTGAGCAGATCAAGCAGGAGATAGACCATGTGGTAGCTCTGGAGCCTGTTTGAACAGGGCCAGCTGTGTGAAATATCCTCTACATGGCAGCTGGGGAGCATGGTCTCACCTGGAGCCTCTGGCAGAAAACACCAGAGAAACCTGAGGTTGACCAATAAGGTTTTGGAGCCAGGGTTATGGAGGATCAGAAGTCCACTACATGCCAATTGAAAAGGAGATATTAGCAGCCTATGAGGGGGTGCGAGCCACCTCAGAAGTTGTTGGAACAGAAACCTGTCTCATCTAGGCACCGTGATTGCCCATGCTGCACTTGATGTTCAGAGGGAACATCCCCTCAACACATCATGCAACCAGTGCTACATGGTGTAAGTGGGTAGCTTTGATCACGCAACAAGCCTGAATGGAAAAACCCAATTTCCCAGAAACCCTGGAAGACATTATGGACTGGTCAGAAGGCAGGGATTTTGGAGCATTGCCTGAAGAGGTGACTTGTGCCCAAGAAGCACCACCATATAACAAGTTACCAGAAAACGAAAGAGGCTACACTCTATTTACTGATGGATCTTGCCGTGTGGTAGAAAACCATCAGAGGTGGAAAGCTGCTGTGTGGAGTCCCATATGAAGCTGCTGAAGGAGAGGGCAAGTCAGGCCACTTTGCAGAAGTGAAAGCCATCCAATCAGCCCTAAAGATTGCCGAATGAGAAAAGTGGCCTGTGCTATACCTCTATACTGAATCCTGGATGGTGGCTAACACCCTATGGGGGTGGCTACAGCAATGGAAGAAGGTCGATTGGCAATGCAGGGGTAAACCCATCTGGACTGTTGCATTGTGGCAGGACATCCCTGCACGGGTGGAAAATATGACTCTGAAAGTTCCTCACGTCGATGCTCACATGCCCAAAAGTCGTGCCACTGAAGAACATCAGAACAATAGGCAGGTGGATAAGGCTGTCAAGATTGGAATAGCCCAGGCAGACTTAGACTGGGAGCAGAAGGGTGAGCTATTTATAGCCTGATGGGCCTATGAAACATCAGGACATGTAGGAAGAGATGCAACATACAGATGGGCTCGTGATCAAGGGGTGGACCTGACCATGGAGGCCATCACACAGGTTATTCATGAATGTGTAACGTGTGTGGCAATTAAGTGAGCCATGCGAGTAAAATCTCCCTGGAATAGAGGGCAGCGGCTGGGTTTCCAATATGGTGAGGCCTGGCAAATTGACTACATTGGACCACTGCCATGAACACGCCAGGGCAAGAGCTACATACCATGGTGGAGGCAACGACTGGCTGACTGGAAACATATCCTGTAAACCAGGCCACTGCTTGAAACACCGTCTTAAGACTTGGGAGACATGGTGACATGGGACCCCAGAGAGAATTGAATCAGACAGTGGGACTCACTTTTGGAATAATCGCATAAGTTCTTGGGCAAAGAAACATGGCATTGAGTGAATCTATCACCCTTATCACCCACAAGCCTCTGGGAAATTTGAGAGGTATAATGGACTGTTGAAAACTATGTTAAGAGCATTAGGTAATGGGACATGGAAGTATTTGAAGGCAAATTTAGCTGAAGCCACTTGGCTGGTCAACACTAGGAGATCTGCCAACCACCCTGGTCCTGCCCAAACAAAACCCCTACACACTGTGGGAGGGAATAAAGTCACGGTACTACACATAAGGAAGTGGCTGGGGAAGTCAGTGTGGGTTTCTCCTCCCATGAGAAAAGGCAAACCCATCCGTGGGATTGTCTTTGCTCAGGGACCAGGGTGTACCTGGTAGGTAATGAGGGAAGATGGGGAGAGCCGGTGTGTGCCTCAAGGAGATTTAACCGTGGGGGAAAGATGATGTGTGTTCTGAGTTGTATGTTGCAGGAAGTAAAGTCACAGGATAATGAAGAGTGAATTCTGTGAGGAACAAGGACAGTGTGACGATGACCCGAGCTGGGCTGGGGTTGGTGCCCAAAAATCAATTGCTTCTCCTGCCCTGGGTACCCATCCAATGGAATGGAGGCCAAGACCTGAAGGGATGGAAGAAGGCCATTAAACAAGATCTGTGCAAGCGTGGGACATAGATATGGGAACTGAGTATGATGTAAATGGTATGGAATAAGGGGTGGAGGTTGTATTGGGTCTGGCTGAGTTGGAGTTCATTTCCCCATAGCAGCCCTCATAGTGCTGTGCTTTGCATTGGGAGCTGGAAGGGTGTTGATAACACACTGGTGTTTTGGTTACTGCTGAGCACAGCATCAGCACTGTAACATTTCTTCCTCAGTTGAGGGCAAGATCCTGGGAGGGGACACAAATAGGCCAACTGACCCAAACTGACCAAAGGGATATTCCATACCATATGACATCAGCTCAGATATAAAAGCTAAGGCAAGAATCAGGAAGGAAGGCAGGCATTGTCTCCAATGGCTGCCTGCTGAGAAACCATCACGTGTGCTGAAGCCTTGCTTCTCGGGAGTGGCTGACCATCGCTGCTCATGGGAAGTGGAGGATAAACCATGCTTTCACTTTGCTTTTTGCGCGCACAAGCTTCTGCTTTACTTTTTGCTTTAAATAACCTGCCTTATCCCAACTCACAAGTTGTTTTTTCCACCTTACTATCTCCCCTGTCCAGCTGTGGAGTGATAGAGTGACTGGGTGGGCACCTGGCATTCAGCCAAGGTCAACCCACCACAGGGTGCATGGAGGTTGGGAGTGGGCAGTCAGGACAGGTGATCCTAACTAACCAAAGGGATATTGCAGACCATATGAAATCATGGTCAGTACATAAAGTGGGGGGAAGCAGCTAAGCAGCAGATGATCCCAAGACTGCTGCTGAGATGCCTCTTTCCTCATTTCCTCACCACTAGCATCATACACACACACAACCACACCAGTAAGAGAACACACACACATGCTAAAGCTGTTGTTTAACACAAAACCACACATTCCAATAGAAGGATTTGTAACATACAATGCTGTTTTATAGTTGTATATAAACACTAATTGTATATTTATAAATTATTATGTTGTAGTTAGTACATAGATTGCTTTTACAGATGACACAACCAAAGTAATTTCTCCTTAAAGAAAACAATGCTTCTTGATTACCAAGCTTTTCCCCCTTTTTCAAACTGCTGCTTGTGTTCTTTCTAGATGACTTGTGAATACATACCGCATGGCTCTCAGTGCAGTTTTGTATGCCAATTCAGCATCATGAGGTAGGAGAGAGGTGAAAAGGTACTTGGCAAATGTGTGCATTGGAACACTCTCTCGATGGATGATTTCACCTAAACCACTATATGGTCCAGCTGTGGGAAAAAGAAAGAGAATATCAGTCTTCACAGTTAAAACCCAACTTCTGGACCTTTAAAAGCATTCACTATATATGGGAGAGCCCAGCTGGTTCTGGGGTCTCTGTGTAACTGAGAAATCGAAGATGGAACATCTACACCTGGCAGAGTGTCAGCCATGGACAAAAAGGACTGTGCCACAGAATGGATTTCCTGTCAGGAATGCTGACTCATTGTTTTTAGACATGCGTGGATGTATGTCCAATTGTGAGTTATGTTACTGAAAACCAATTGTGTGTATACATGTGTCACCGAAAACTGTATAAAAGTAGCTGCAGTGGCTGTAATAAGGAGTTCCTGGTTTCCTGAAGCCATGTTGTTCCCACCTCAACTGCAACAACTATACCTTGAGTTAGAATTGGTATTCAGAGACAGCTTGCTGTACAAAAGGTAAAGTTATATTGATATTTTTTTGAAATATATTACAAGTATATTAAATACCATTTATTCTTTGAGACAACAAGATACACTGTAAATTGTAGAGTACTAAGCACACTACCAGTGCACATACAAATGACAGAATGGTCCCAGGGTTCCATGGGGCTCATTCAGAAAATCTATGGTATGCAAAAGTAGAAAGTGATAATCCTAGCTTTGCCTCTGTGTCATTATATTGTGCACATGAATTCCTATGCACCCTCTGTTGGTGCATAATTGTTTTATCACAAATCCAGAAAAAAAAGTGTCTACAGTGGAAAACCAGGTATCTTTAATTGAAGTTACATGACTAATCACTATAGCAGCACCTGATCCCTAATTATGTCTCACCTGACATTAGGCATTTAAATAACCCTTTGGTTTGGACTTGGTCTCCAGAGAAGACTAGGTCAGATCTTGCATAGAAGTTGGTTTTGTTAGTCTATTATAGCCACACAATCTTTAAAATTGTATTTGTTGTGGAGAAGCTATTCCCGTTGTTGGGGCAATAGATTTTGCTCGCACTCAGTGCAGTACTTCATAACAGCAGTGTTAAGACTGACAACAGAAATGACAATGTAAAAAAAATTACATGAAACTATTTGCTTGCTGAGTTCTGAATATTCACAGTACATAAGAATTCCATTTTTACATTTTTCCTGCAACCTTTACACTGTTATTCCTATTAATAGGAAAATTGTGTCAAGCAGCTTTTTACTTCAGTGGCTAGAGGTACAGGTGTTAAACATTGCAAGATACAGAATAAGAATCTTACATTAAGTATTATTGGACAATTATTGCACAAATAGCAGCCAGCAGTCCTAGAAGTTACTACTTCCTCTTCTACTAGAGATTCCAACCCACCACACTTGGATGGATGAATGACTGTGAGCACACTTCTTCATTGCAGTCACATGTGTCATAGCTTCCAGCAGTGGTTCAAACTAAGATGACTGACACTTCACTGAAGCAGATGAGGAGTACTCACAAAATTTATTCAACCACTTCTGCTGCATGGGATGATGAACTCCATGAGAGAGAGATGGTAACAACTTGGACCAGCACAGCTGTTTCAGCAATGTTTTTAACTAGTGCCTTAGCACAAAATGCAGATAAAATCACTAGGCATGTAAAAAAAAATAAAATCTGAGCTCCATAGGTGGGCATTTCTGAAGGCTGGGGTTAATCACAATGGAAACATCAATGAAGATTAGGTAGGTGACAGTATGTCTCAATCATTTAAAGTTGAAAAGTTCAAAAACTAGCTGGCATTGCTTCAGTGAAAGAAGCCATTTCATGAATGTTTGCCAGTCGGTGGTCCATTCAGAACGCAGTTAGGACGTGAAGAATATATGACAAAGTATTTATATGAAGATATAGTCTGCCATTGACTCAAGCAAAAAAATAGAACAGTTCTTGCAATGCAGTCTTATGTTCTCCTTTCCCACTCATTCAAATGGTAGCTACATAGAGCATGCATTAATCTGCATTAACAGCATAGAAATCAGCTTAATACTGAATTAAGCTTTCTTTATTATATCTACAGAACTTCAACTATCAAACCACAATTGATATGATTAGAATCTTAAATCACTGCACAGTTTTTCCTCCATGTGATCTGTCAGTTTCTGCCTTGCCTGGAGTAAACTGAAGCTATTGCAGAAAAGCCAAATTTCTCAGCACACAGTAATGCAAGACCATTGTTGCACACTGCTCACCACAGCAATTTTGTTAATAACCATTTTAGCAGGTTTTCTCCTATGATCACTTGTTTACTACTCTAAGAAAACAAAGAGAATATCAGTGGTCAAAGTATCAGAGAATACTTGAGAGAAATCCTGCCTTTTCCTCATACAGCATCCTTACCAGTAAATAGATCTATCAAATTGATTTTATAATCCATAGGATACCTCTATGGTGGTGAATAGCTGGATCCAGCAAGAAGATGTTCTTGTCCAAAGGCCATAAAACAGCAGTTATGGCCATACCATAATGGAAACTCTCATTATGGTGCAGCTCCTCTACAGTTTCAAATGGCATCACCAGTAGGTACCAAAGTCTTTAAGGATCTGGGCAATAATAGTGACTCAAAGCTGAGAACCCTAAACAACATACTGCATCTCCTCCATAAAGAAATAGTTTTAAAAAACAAATGTCTTATAGAAAGGAAGCAAAACCTGACTGCTATGTAACAATCTTCACAACTTACCCAGAGCAGTATCAAACTCCCCACCATCCCTTGAGTAAGCACTCAAAACTTGGACCATGCCCTTTTTCCTTGATTTAAAAAAAACCTTAAAACTAGAATGACAACCTTAGAACACATAAGACTACTCTGTGAATGGGAGGCTTAAGTGCTATATGTCAAGCCTTTTAAAAAATAAGGCAAAAGCATGCACTTTTTTTGTACAGATTTTATTGCAATGCAAGTTATTTGTCTTAATCAAAATTTAGTCACAAGACCAGGCCTTAAGCCTCAATATTTGTCCATATATTTCAGTTTTCAAGTATGATACAAACTTCTGAGGCAACTCATTTTCCTAATTGCTACAAAGAAAATGTTATTTTTCTGTCCCAGCAAATTTAAGTTTTCTGAGCTCTTCACTTGGGAACAGAGGTAAAAATCTTCATACATTTACAAAGCTGCCAGTCCTTTTTCAGTATTCAAATGACATTTACTACCCAAGAACTGTTGATGATAACTGATGTCTATATTATTTGTGAGCCTGGGTTGTATAATTAGGATACTAAACAAATCTAAATAACAAAATGCAATAAAACTTGAAACTAAAGGCTTGTAGGTCAATAGATGCTTTATCTCTACAGTCATGTCATATCTGAAGTATGTTTGATTTTCATAAGAGATTGGAAATAAAATTTTGCTGGAGTTCTACATCAAAAACCATCTTAAATGTGTAAGGCAGTTTCCACTGGAATACTAATTCAGTGGGCTTGTGTAAGTGAAGACAGTTTTAAAAAGCAGTTAGCATCTACATTGAGCTACCTTCTAATAGGAAGACTGCTTGTTTTCGAAAAATCTTCACCAGAGTATCATCCAATTCAATTTCCTGTAGCTTAGAAATGAGCTGCTCCTCATTTCGACAAACCTTCTCTTGTGCATACAAGCCATCTGGCATTATCCGTTGCTGTCCCAGCCCTATCAGTGCTACTTCCACAGCCAGCATTGAATAAGATTCCCCTTCTTCTAAAAACTTGTGTGCAGGCAGCTGCTGGTACTCCACAGATTTGCATTGCCCCATGTTCTCTGTAAAGGGCAACACAAAGAAAAACACATCAGGAAATCATTAAAATCCATAATCTGCCTATAATGCCACATTTACAAATGCTTCCTCTGTCAGTATTCATTTTTAAAAATTATTTAAATTACTAGTGCAATCTCAATATCCAGTCATCCAATCTCAACTACCCAATCCAATTCCACATAGCAGAAATACACAAAACAATTAGGTTTTAAAAAGCCCACTTGAGTAAAAATAAAAGTTTACATTTTAAAATGCATGATTTGGAGAAAGGGAGTTTCTCCAGCTTTGTGTTAATAAGGCCAAAATTTGAAGATCTATTTCAATTTTTTTCCCCACCCATTTCTGCATTTCCTTAAAGCTTTGATGTTGTATAAATGGAAAGGTAAGGTGCTTATACACCTGCATAGATTTCAGTTGAAGCTATTAGGATAATGCAAATACAGTAGGCCTGGGATCTCCACAACTTTAAAGCATTCTGTTTGCTAGAGCTCTCTTCATGCTTCTTTATTTGTTACAGTTGTATTTATGATAAACATGTATAAATTTTCTGACTTTTAACACTAGAAATGCTACTTTTAGTAAAGATTACTTGTAAATTCCACACAGACCAAGCGATAATTTGCTTTAAAGAGTACTACTGATTCATTTGGCACTTCACCAATACACCATATGACAAAATGCTATATCAATCAGCTTACAGTCCAGTTTGGCAACAAAAAGTTGCAATGTATAGATATAAGGAGATGGACAGTTTTAGCAAATGAGATGGCAAAATGCATTTGGTAGATTGCATATGTGTGTGTAGGGGGAATTTGCTTTTCAACACACACTACTTTTATTTCATGGGATTGTTTTGGTTTTTTTTCTAATTGCAAAGAATTCTTCCAGAATTGGTGGATATGGGATTAGAAGTTTATTGAAGAAAATCTGATTGAATAAAATGAGTTTTGAGGTAAAGCCCCAAGAAGACTGGGGATGTGCATATAAAGGATCTATAGGTAGAGGAATGAATCAAGTTTCTGACCACACAGAAGGTGATAAGACACTACAACAGAGGTGGAAAGAGACTAAGGAATAAATCAGTTAAGGTCCTGGGAAGCAAATACTGAAATTAAAATGGGTGTATACATCCTGTCCTAAATCATGTATCAATACTACAACACTATTTTCCAATTCATAACTTTTATAGACCATGTACTTTATAGAACATCTATGTTATAAATTTTAAGTGTTTTGTCATCAGTTTGAAGTATTATGAGCAGCTGTAGATAAGAAGTCAAATAGCATCCTGGACTGCATAGGAGGAGCATCGCCAACAGATTGAGGGAGGTGATCCTTCCCCTCTGCTCAGCACTGGTGAGCCCACACCTGGAGTGCCATGTTCAGTACTGGGCTCCCCACGGACCTACTGGAGCAGATTCAGTGAGGGGCCACAAAGATGATTAAAGGACTGGAGCATCTCCCATATAAGTGACTGAGATGGCTGGGATTGTTTAGCCAGGAAAAGAAAAGGCTCAGTAGGATCTTACCAAAATATATAAATATATGCTGGGAGAATGCAAAGAAAACAGAGCAAGACACTTCTCAGTGGTATCCTGTGATGGGACAAGAGGAAATGGGCACAAACTTCTGAGCATAAGAAATCACTTTTTTTCTGTGAGGATGGTCAAACACAATAAGAGGTTGCGTGGTGTTCATTCTTGGGACTATTCAAAACTCAACTGGACACAGTCCTGGGCAACCTGCTCTAGGTGACTCTGCTCTGATAAGAGAAGGTGGACTAGACTATCTCCAGAGGAGCCTTCCAACCTCAACAATTCTGTGATTTCCTGTAATTTCGCAAAAAGAGGACAGAGCAATGTATATAAAGAGGGTTGCTGCTATAAAGTCTTATTCCATTTTGTTTCAAGCGTAAAATGTTGAATTGCCTTCAAGAATGAGTAACTGGTAATTTTTGAAGACTTTCATATAACTTATAACAAAAATGTACTGTAAACATTCTCTCTCCCCTGTGTTTTCTTAGGGAATGCAAATGCGAGTTCTTATACTATAAAGACACTGGCTTCCAAGTTAATTGGGAAAGGTAAGATAGAAAAATGCCTCTGGTTACTGAAGACTTAGAGAAGATTGCTCCCTTTGCATGGCCTTACCCGTGAAGTCTGAGAATCCATGGAAGCTCTCATCATCTACCCTGAAGGCTTCAATCAGGCTACTGAAGAGGGTGCCAATCGGATCCAAAGGATGTCCCACCCAACCTTCAAGATTTGTTATTGAGGTTACTCCTTTGTGGAGAAGTTCTGTGACAGAAAAGATGGAGGGAGGAGGGAGGGAAAGAGAGTGCATATTATCCCCTCAAAACAATTATAGAAGTAAAACTGATTAAAATGCTCTCAGCATAGGATTCAAAGTATTTCCAATAGTTTCTGCTTAGAAGGAGAAAATAGTATCTCAGTGTGAATTTATTGCCCTTTGTAAATATGTTAAAAGAGGAAAAAAAGAAAATGGACAAAGGCCAAACATTTTGAACACTAGCAAAGTACATTATGGGTCAAAATTTCAACAGTAGTATCTTTTGAAATCTCTTACTTGATACCAGTAACTTCTGAAAATGTCTGCCAAAAAATTATAGCAAAGACTTTTTTGCAAAATAATCATAACTGTTTCCTCACTCAAAAGATGCAGTACCATTTTCACATTTTAAGTGAAGCTGATGGCACTGAAATAAATTATTCTGAAATGTTCTATTTTAATAAATGATATGAACTTATTGCATCTAAATATTTATTGAAGTAATAAACTCATGAAGACAGTTCCTAATTAAAATTATATGAAAAAAGGGTATAATGTTTAAAGGAGTTATAAAAGAAAAAATTTGTCCTTTAAGTGCATTTTTTGTCATTCTAAAGTTTCAGTCAACAAATACCTTCATGGATACCTTGTTCTGTAGCCCTCATCCATCAGTTAAAACATGAAAAAATTGTTTAGCACAATAAATTGAAGGAAGTGTGGCTGTGGTAAAGAAGTTAGAGATTACTAAAATCCCTTTTTTAACTAAGAGTCTTATGGCAGTAGTTCCCCTTTAACTCCCAAGCTTTTTCTCCCAGACACATACACATGACTGAACTATGAGAGATTAGGTGCATTATCACAGAATCACAAAATATGCTGAGCTGGAAGGGACCCACAAGGATCAGCAAGTCCAACACTTAGCCCTGCACAGGACCATCCCCAAGAGTCATACCATATGCCTGACAGTATCGTCCAAATGATTCTTGAACTCTGACAAGCTTGGTGCTGTGACCACTTCCCTGGGGAGCCTGTTCCAGTTCCCAACCACCCTCTGGGTGAAGAATCTTTTTCTAATATCCAATCTAAACCTCCCCTGACACAACTTCAGGCCATTCCCATGGGTCCAGTCACTGGTCACTAGAGAGAAGAGATTAGTGCCTGCCCTTCCTCTTCCCCTCATAAGGAAGTAGTAGACTGTGATGAGGTTTCCCCTCAGTCTCCCCTTCTCCAGGCTGAACAGACCAAGTGACCACAGCCACTCCTCATACGGCTTCCTGTCAAGGCCCTTCACCATCTTTGTTGCCCTCCTTTGGAAGCTCTCTAATAGCTTAATGTCTTTCTTATATTATGGTGCCCCAAACTGCACACAATATTCCAGGTGGGGCTGCAACAGTGCAGACCAGAGCAGGACAATCACCTCCCTTGACCGGCTGGCTATGCCTTGCCTGATGCATCCCAGGACACAGTTGGCCCTCCTGACTGCCAGGGCACTGCTGCCTCATACTCAGCTTGCCATTGACCAGGACCCTCAGGTCCCTTTCCGTGACACTGCTTTCCAGCATCTCATTCTCCAGTCTGTACATCCAGGGTTGCCCCATCCCAGGTGCAGAATCTGGCACTTTCCCTTCTTGAACTTCATGTGGTTGGTGATTGCTCAGTCCACTAATTTGTTGAGGTCTCTCTGCAGGGCCTCCCTGCCTTCAAGGGAGTCAACAACTCCTCTGAGTTTTGTGTCATCTGCAAACTTGCTTAGTATCCCCTCCAGTTTTGCATCCAAGTCATTTATGAAGGTGTTGAAGAGCACAGGGTCTATGATAGAGCCCTGTAGAACCCCACTAGTGACAGGTCACCAGTCTGATGTTACCCCATTGACTATTATACCTCCCAGAAAAATCTTCTCCATAATTTCACCAGGCACTGAAGTGAGACTGACAGACCTGTAGTTTTCAGGGTCCTCCTTCTTGCCCTTCTTGAAAATCAGGACAAGGTTTGCCAGCCTCCAGTCAGCTGAGACCTCTTTTAATTCCCAAGTGACCATTTAAAAATTGTATACAAGCCATTACAGATAATCTGTTTCTCTGCTATTACACACTAACTTGTACCTGCCTTTGTGCTCTCTCATTCACTAAGGGTCATCTTTCTGAGTAATCATAAGTATTATCACAAAGCTTTAAAAGCTTGCTTTTTGCCTATTTAAATGTGCAGAGCTACAAAGTGAAACAACCACACTGTTGAACTCATTGTTCAGGACAATGGCTTTTTTTTTTTAAATAAACTGATATGTGATATGAAAAACAAAGTAGTAACTAATTGTCTTACTAACAAATAGTATGTGTTAAAAACGACAGGCAGAAGCACATATTACCAAAAAGGATTAATATCACTGACTTTTTACTGACTCACTTATATTCTGTTTAATCTATTATGTCTATTTATGAGCTTCACTTGTGTCATGCCAAACAAAGGCTTCAGTCCTCCATTCATACAGAGATTTAACATGATGTAACTAGTTCCACGAATGTCAGATCAGTCACATGCATGAAAGCTAAGTAGAAGTATGTGATGGTTGCTGAACTGAAACTATAGCTGCAGAATTAATCTTCTTATGGAGAAGACCAGCATATTTTGCACTATTAAAAGAAGATTCTTTAAATTCCAAACATAAAAGTGAAAAAAAAACCCCAAAGCAGTGAGTAGCAACATAGAAATTTCAAATTTCATGTTAAAGAAAGATATATTACCCAATAAAAAGACTCAGAGAAAATCTCTCAAGTAATAATGCAAAGTGCTTTTAAGTTTTGTTTAAATCTAGGATCCACAATAGTGCTCAAAATTTCTTTCTTGGGTATTGTGAAATGGACACACATAGGAACTGCCAACTAATTATTTTTTTTCAGTCAGGAGTCTACCTTGTCTTCAATTTCTAAATGATCATTTCTGGGAAAACACCTGCACATACACTTAAAAAATTTACACATGTGACTACACACTAGTATTTTTGCCTACAATGCATGAGGATACAAATAGTTAAGAGTAGTAATAAAGATCTCAAAAAAAATTTGAATGAAACGTGTTCTTGTAGTAGCTGAGAATGTAATTCCAATTTTTCCACATGCATTCTTTAACTACAAAGTCATCTCTTTCTTCTTCCACTACTACTTCAAACCTATGACAAAGTTCAGTGAAGGATTATTTTTGCTAGAATCTTCCTTCAAAAAGTAGGGGTAGTGTTTAGAGGAACACCACAGAAGATTTTATAAAGCCAGTGTTTCAAAAATCTTATTTCCAGTGATGTGAATCCACTAAAGTTTTAAGCATCATAAGAGACTTCTGGGAGAAACTGACAAATTTGAAGAATTTCTGTAGTGCAGACTTTGCCTAGTCAACTTTTGGCTTCCACCTCAGAAATAGCTCTGCTAAATTATACATCAGAGGAAAAAAATTATTTTAAATACCTGTCATTCCAAATGCAACTCTCTGTTTAAAAGCCTATAAATTACACAGGATGAATATTTACACTGTATAACAAAAAACTCTGATTGGAATAAAGGCCCCATCACCTTAGATGTATTGCAGAAGGCAGAACAGAGCCCTTGCCCTGCAGAGTTCACAACCCAGCATGAAATAAACCTCCGACATCCAGAATGTGACATTTACCACTATGATCGTTTGGACTGAAGAGTTAAAGTCACCTCTTTTGCTTTAGTTTCAAAAACAGTTTTTTCATCCAAAGTTCCGGTCTGGTGTTATTGTCACCTTGTCATGTCCTTTGCCCTTCTCTCTTCCCCACATTTACCTTTCTTCTGAGCCTGGAACATTTCCAGTTGTTTCTGCTGCTGCCTTCTTAGTGTATTAACAATAGCTATTGCTAGCCTCAGTGCTTCTCGTGGGTATCCATGAGATCGTAATGCATCCACCCTCGCACAGGCTGTAGGAACATGTTCTAAAATGGAGAAAATAATTGAGGAATAGCAATGCTTCCATGTCTGCAATGGCCTATTTTGCTAGGTTACTCAAAAGGGCTTTTTAGTTTCCTTTGATTTGTTTTTAAAACTATGCAAGAGAAATTTAAAGGACTGTTTCTGAGCCAACAATTCAAGGGAGTCTCTGTTCTTTTTTCCAGGCTTTTCATTCAGCTCCTCGCCACCCCCCAAAAATAATGCCATAGAAACTGAACAAAGCAGCAAGTCATGGAAACATCTTTCTGTCTTTCTGGTTTAGCCACTTACCATGCCAGAGGGGCCACCCCTGAGAGTCATAGAGTGAGTTTTCGGTGTTGTCATGGTAACAGTAGTTGGTGTATAGGTCACTGCTGATAATGTGCTGTAAGTGGCTGTCCTGCCAGTGCAGATCGCATGCCTCTATGGCTCGAGTGAACACCGTCCGATGTGGCCTGTTTGATGAATCTGTCATTTTCACAAGTTCAGAAAGCTGCATCAGCTTTTACTCATTCATATGTGAATCAGTCATTCACAGTATTCTTGCCTTCTGCCTCTTCACCAGCCCCTAACTGACAGCAGCCTACCTTGACCCACTCTGCAAGAAGCAGACTATAGATGACATTTCACATCCTGTTACCCAACAGCTCAGGCAAAGTGTGTGCCATTCACTTTGCATTCAGAGAGATCTACAAACTATCATGGCTAATGCTAAATAGGACGTTGCAAAGGGAACAGCTAAAAATGAAGGACATTAAACAGTATGTACAGAACTCCCCTAAAAACAAACTAGAAAGTATATGGCACACAGCTACTCAAGCACCCCCAGCTTCTCTCCTTCTCAGAGCTACTAGGATGAGTGACAGATAAACATCACATGAAATATTTTTAGTTGTTCTCTTTGAGAAGTGACATTAACTTTAAGCACTTGGATATTTTTTTCGTCATAAACATATACAAATACTGCAAGGAAAGCAAGGCACTGAGGCCATAGGACTGACAATCCTTTACTGGATATCTTCCTATGGCAAAAGTGCTCTGTCTACATGGCACTGTGTCAATGAATGTTGAAATGTCATGTCAGGGTTGCCACTAGCCTGCAAAGGTTGGGCTGAACATCACAAGATCCAGAAAGCCAAACACCTCTGTAGGAAGTTATATATTGAATGAACTTCTGTCCCCAGCTAGCTGCAAGATTTAAAAATGAACTAAGTCTATTTCCTTTGGAGGTAAACTTTCAAGAAAAAGAAACAAGGAAAAACCCATCTATCACCTTTCACAAGCATTTAATTTTAACTTTTATGAAATATGTATCAAAACATTGAGGGGTTTGATGATTATGAGGGGTTTTTTCCCTGGTAAATATTCTGTGTCTTCCTCAGTTATTCGCAAAGTAGCAATCTTTGCTTGAAGATGACTGAAGAAGGCTTCTGTCAGGTTTGATAATCACATTTTTGATTAGAAAGCGTATATCGAGTAAGAGACACCTCCTCCAAGAAGGCAATATTAACTCTGCACCCCCACATGCCTGTTAGTGCAGACCACACAACACAGAGCACATCCCACAGATAAGTGCTTTAGTTTATCACACAGTTTAATGTAGTCACAACTGATCTCCCTTTAAGTAAGTACCAAAGGCTTTGTAACTGCAAAAAAAAAAAAAACAAACCTCCAAAACAAAAAACAAAACCACAAAAAAAACCCCAAAACCAGAAGTTATGTAAGATTATAGTAAAACAAAGAAATAACAGGCTTTTACATGACATGCTTCAGGGACATCCAATTTTTATGCAACAAGTATTTAGAAGGACCAAGTGAAAAGTTAGAAAACCTAACTTGCTTTGAAAACATTGCAGCTCCAGCACAAAAGTAGACCTTATTTATCCTTTCTGCAAGGATAGTATTAGTGAGAATAAATTTGGCTGGCCAATCCTCAACAAGAAACTTACTTGTCCCAGGAAAGACTGCTGTATTCTGCTGCAAGGCTCAAGTATATAAGATAGAGGCTATATTATATGTTTCAGTTAGTGCATATATTTAGGCTCACCTTGGTTAGCATTTGCACCCTGAGGCAAAGCATTGGTTAAATTGGGCAGCTCATTTCCATGGTTTCCATCTTCCCAGGGACAAACATCCACATCATTCCATTTTTTCAGCTGTTTTAGCCAACTGACCTTCTGCTCCAACTTGCAGTGGGGATTTAAGACTATACACATCCACAGAGCACCTGATTTTAAAGAAAATTGCTAAATTAGGTTTTCTATTAAAAATGCAGCAGCCAATGACTAATTGCAAACTTCTATTCTTTAACACATTTTCTCCCATAAGGCTACACTGCTTGTTTCCCAGCTATGCCTAACACCAGGTGTGGCCCATCCAAAGCAGTTTAAAGACTGTATCAAGCCAACCTTCTCAATTAAAAGGCATTAAATGGGTCTTTTGTATTAGGAAAGACATAGTTCACAATGTATGGCACATCAGACAAAGGCAAACAAAAATTCACATAAAGTTACATCAGGAAATTACCCAAGTTTTTCTTCTAATTTTTGTACAAAAACTATGTATTTTCCAGCTTCACATTACAGGAACCAAATAAGTGCATTAGTAAGACATGTATTTTGTAAACATATACTTCCACACTTGAAATCCAGCAGAAGCGGAGATTCAGTAAACGCTGGGTTTGTGCAGGCTAATAGCAAGAAGATATTTTTGCTGCTCCCACTTCAGTAATCTGGTTACACTAGAAAATTTATCTTACATTTTTTGTTTATGGAGCTTGAAGCGAAAGCTAATTTGCGCTGACATTTCTTATGTACCATCACTTTAGAAACTGCTCCCTGATACTACAGAGCAGGGCAGGCATAAATACATCAGGGTCTTTAGCAACAATTTTCAAATGGAAAGATTTTTCTCTAAGCTGTCTCTTCATCAGGATGGACTTTGACACAAGCATGAAGACATCTGAAAGTACTGTTCATTTGCTCATTAAGAACATGCCTTGTACACTACAAGAGATTTCGCAGAATCACAGAATATTCTGAGTTGGAAGGGACCCACTAAGATCATCAAAGTTCAACTTCTGGCCCTGCACAGGGTGGCCCCAAGAATAAAATTAGAAGAATATGCTTAAACTTTGCAATCTTTACGACAGGATGAAAAAAAGAATAAAAATGCAGCTGGTTCTTCCAAGAAACTAGAATTCTCATATTCAATCATTCTTTTGCAAACTAAGAATACAAAATGGATACCCAGAGCACAGGTCATCACATTATATTCATTCCTAAAGTAACTCAATATGTTGGTATGCCACAGCACAGGACCCAGTGGAAACAGCTTCATTCTTAAGGCTGCAAGTCCACTGCTATTCAGGATGACATAGAATGAGGAAGTAATATCAAAGAAATCTGAAAACCACAACAAAAAAAGATATGGTACAGTGCAGAACACCAGAGATCCACTACATTAATGCACAGTAGTTACATACAGTAGATCATGATGTTTTGTTGTTCTTTTGTTTGAATTTTTTTTTGGGGGGGGGGGGTTGTTTTTGTGGTTTTTTGGTTGGGTTTTGGTTTTTCTAAGTGCCATAGGAGCGAATAAAGCCAATACTGTTTTTATAAACTTCTTTTAAAATCAAATCATATTGCTTTGTTTTAGACACACTGTTAAACGCACTTCACTCCCCAAACAGAGTCAAATTATAGAATAGAATCACAGACTAGTTTGGGTTGGAAGGGACCTTTTAAGGTCCCCTAGCCCAACCCTCCTGCAAAAAACTAGATCAGGTTGCTCAGAGCCCTATCCAACCTGAGCTTGAATGTTTCCAAGGATGGGGCATCTACCATCTCTCTAGGCAACATGTGCCAGTGCTTCACCACCCTCATTGTAAAAAAAAAACAACACGTCTTCCTTATATGTACCCTCTTCCAGTTTAAAATCATCACCTGTCCTATTGTTACAGGCCTGTCCTATTTAGAGCAGCTGGAACCAGTTCATCACTGTGTGGGTGTAACCCAAACTGTGTATTCTACACCCTCTATGTCATTTCCCAGAAACTGTTACCAATAGATCATTTGCAGCAGCTGCCCAGAGCACACCTGACCCCTCAGGCTATAAGCTGGGTGTTAAGAGGCCTGTGAGACAAGAGGATGTTCCTGGAGCCCCCGGTGGTCTAGGGGAAATGACACTGCACTGTCACTGCAGAGACCCGGGTTCGATTCCCGGTCGGGGCCCCTCCCCGGGCAGATGGAGCTCGTTAGCCCATAAGGCAATCCATCTACATCCTGAGGACCTCGCTGCCACTGTCCAAGTGTGCTTGGCCCCGGCAGATGAACCTCAGGATTAAAGGGTGGGCTCAGTTCCGCGCACACTGTGTCTCACCTAAAAAATCCAATGCGCAGGCTGGAAGGTGTAAAGACCTTCCCCGGTTCTTTGTTTGCGAAGACTGGCCTGTCCTCCCACTCACAGCTTATAATTAGCCATTGTGGAATTCCCCACCCTGGGGGAGGTGCTGGGCATTCCTGCCTGAACCTGAGTGTATACAATCTTGAGATCTTGGGACTTCTTGGTACCACTCGTGGGATCCAGAGGAGGACCAGAACCTCGACCAGACTGTGACCACCACTCTCGACTGGACTGCGGACTGTGACCATTATTCATACCTACAGGTTTTTCCTCTCCTTTTACTTTTGGACTCAGGGGGACCATGTGGGGTGAAGCGAGACAAGGCTTTAGAAGGGTTAGTCGAAACACTTTGCTGTAAAGACCCACTTTTCTCCCCCCTCCCTTTTCTCCTTACTCAAAGGAAGATTATGTCCTGTACCAGTTCAGCAGACCTAAACCCACAAGAAACATTGAACAAGGAACTCAGAGGTAATAAATCCCAGCTAAAGCAGCCAAGTTAGACATTTGAATAGGTGAAATAGGCCTGAAACCAAGGTTTTCTTCAAGCCTCGACGATCAGAACACGAAACAATAGAAAGTACAGAAGGTCTTCGGGGTCACCTGATGATGAGGAGTAAAATCAAGCCCCTCTGATGAAGCAAAGACCGGATGTACCACTAATTATTCCCCAAAATGAAGAACACGCCTCAAACTTCACCCTAACTCCACCTGCTATGAATATTGTAATTTAATATGAATATGTATGCAAATATGTTGTAATCGTTGTCAAAGACTGTATAAATTACTCATTCTTATCTGAGCAGAATGGAGTCCTTTTTCCCAGCATAAGCTGGTGGGCTTCCCAGCCGCTCAATAAATACCTGCTGTTTAAAGGCATAAAACTCTGTCTCTAAGCAGTTTTTTACCTGCCTTTTTGGGCATCAGGGGCTCAGCACAGGGGCCAACAAACATCATTCTGTTTGTGCCTCAGGGTGCCAGGTTATACATCTGTTTTTTTGTAGGTTAAACCCAATTGTTCATCTGTATAATTGTATTCATTGTATTATTTTTATTAAATTGTAATTCTGACTTATAATCTCTTTTGAGTTTGGTTCATTTCTCCTGCCGGTTTACCTTTAAACCACTACATTTTTAGTGTGAAAGAGAGTAAGGCCTAAAGAGAGTTAACCAAGGTATCTTGCTCTGAGGAGGCTCTCCCCTAAAACTCTCCCCTCCATATCTGCTCTGCTCATGCTGTTACAGGAAATTCTGTTAAGTTCAGTGGACCTAAACTAGAGAAGAATGTTATAAGCATTATACAATGGGCTTAGGGGTAATAAATCAGGGTAAAAGTAAGTTAAGGTAGATATTTGAATAGGTAGAATAGGCCTAAAGCCAAGGCTGTCTCCAAGCTTCAGTGACTGGGGCAAAAACAATGGAAAGTTAGAGAGGTCACCCTGAGGAAGACTACAGCGACCTCAGCCTCAATGATGAAGAAAGGCAGATGTAATCCTAGAATTGAGGGCCAAGAAAAGCTCTGCCGCAAACTCCACCTGCACTCCGCCTATACTCCACCTATTATCAATATGTATGATTAGATGTTGCAATCATATGAATATGCATGTAAAATATTGTAATCATAGAAGTTAGACTGTATAAATTTCCCTGTTTTGTACCACTACACTCGAGCAAGCGCTTTGTGGTGCGAACCACGCTTGCTCCTGGCATCATCAAATAAATACCTTTGTTGCTCAAAAGACCAAAAGCTTCTGGGCAGTTTCTTTACCGGATTTCTCAGATTCAGGTGCCGTATGTGGGGCATGAGAAAGAAGTCAAAATCACAATTTCATTTTAAGCATTTGTGTATTTGGATACAGAACCTCCCTGATCACCATGTTGCACGTGGATGTTGCATCTGAGCCTGTTCATATTTCCGCATATGGGGAACTATTTGCCTATTTTGATGCTCTCTTTAAGATCAGGGAGAGGGATCAAAATTGCTTTATTAATATACTATGTCTATGTCGTCATAACATCAGAAGCACTGAGTTTCTTTGTGAATGTGTACTCAGTCTTGTTTGCCTGTCCTGCTTTGGATTGCTACCTCTGGGGCCTCATTAAAAATCGCACCCAGTCTTTTGGGGGAACAGGAGGAAATGGTTGTTTCCAACCTTTCACTTCCTTCTCCTCCTTCAGACCTGCTACAACAGTCTTTGAAAACACTGAGTTTCCTTTTGATGTTAAAGACAGCGTAATGTTCTTGGTGTTGCTTTGTCTACTCTGTACTGTCTACACCATGCTTAGGGTTAGAATAGGGCCTTCTAGGGAGGTTGTCTGGAGGCCTGCCGTGGGAGTGGATAATGCTGAATGGCATGGGAAGTGGGAGGACATCAGCCAGTATTTGGAGAAGTTCTCTCCTCCAGTGATGTGGAAATTCACTCCTGAACAACTGCAGGATCCTGTTAGCATGATAAGATTGGTGAAGGAAAAATGCTCTGGCAGCTCCAGAGATGGTCAGCTCACAGCAACCTGCTGGGTCCTGGCCACTGCCTACCAGAAACTACTTGACATAGTACAGCACCGTCAGGGGTAGGAGAGAAGGAGCAAATCTACAGGCACCATGTCCACCCAAACCACAGCTGAGTCAGAGGGAAAAAGAAATAAATCAACCAGCACCATGTCCACACAAACCATCAAGGAGCCAGAAGGACAACCAAAACCAATAGCAGTCGCACTGTCCAGAAAAGGAAATCAAAGACTAAATCAGTTCGTATAGTGAATGATGACAACGAGGCAGGACCCTCACATCCAATGGAGGAGACAAAGCCAGAAATAATCACTGGATCCCTGTCCCTGGGTAAGCTACGTGAGCTCTGGAGAGAGATCACGTGACAGGTGAATGAGTCAATTCTGACCTGGCTGCTCTGAATCTGGGACGCCGTGGCTAACGATACAATTCCAGATGGGAGTGAAGCAAGGCAACTGGGATCCCTGTCTAGAGATGTAGTCATTGATCAGGGGATTGGAAAGAGGCAGGAAACTCTCAGCCTCTGGACTGTTGTCCAGTGTGAGGGAGAGATATCTTTGTAAGGAGGACCTCCATGAACACCAAGGACAGTGGAATACGATGGAACAAGGTATCCAGTTGTCTCAGTTTAATTGAGACAAGGGTCTTTTGCTGAGGATGGATTAGGAGAAAAAGACCCAAACCTTCTTCTCTAGCAATTATAGATCCGAAATTAAGAGGCTCCGATTGAAGGAAAACAAATTATGGAAAAGGGAAAAAAGAAAAATAACAGCCCTTTATTAAAAGGTATGTGTGTATTAACGTA